AAACCAGTCGGCGAGACCAAGATTGCAAGATTGCGTGGCAATCCTGCCCAATAGCGGTTCTAGTTTCCAGGCACACTGTACTACAACAAGACTACTAATAATAATACCTATACCGATACTAATACCGCTCCTCGTAGTACGTTGATTGTGATAAATGCCTGAGCAGTCCAGATGTTGAAACACCTTCTGGAGAAGGATTACTTCGTATCGCTAAGATGAGCGGTTCACCACACACAGGCATGGGCATGCACACGCCACAGCTTGAGGTCCTCAGCTTGTGGCACAGCATGACGCAATGCAAGTCGCCATGTTTTCTCCAACGGGTGACTCACACTTGTCGGGTTTAAGGACAGGACCATCGTCAAGATCGCCCTGATTGCAGGTCCGGCGGGCCCGCAACATACCTGCATTAGAAGAGGGTCTCAACTTCTCCTTCGGCCAGCCAGCCTGGACCATAGGGAAGGTTGCTGGTTCCTGCTCCATCACATCTCGAAGCACAGGTAAGAGCTACCTTCATCACCATGTGTCGTCGTCGTCATCACGGTCGTCATGATCATCATCATCATCATCATCATCGTATCAGTCACAACTCTAGACTAGATGCGTCGCACATAGCTGACAGTGAGTTATTTGCTTTTCATTGTTCGTAAAAACATGCATACAGGCATGCATATTATGCATCTTGCAGGGTGGATCGCTGTCGAAGAAATCGGGATATCCATCTCTGTAAATAGACTCACTGTTGACTCTGCACACTGACTGACCCTTCAGCTGACTTTCAGCATGCAGTAGCAGAGTCCTCAAAATGCCCACAGTATTCGCATGACCTAGGACGCATAAAGCGATCATGTCCTCGAGCTTCACCTCTCGTGTGCTGCTACGCCCCCAGAGTTTACGAGGTTCACCTTCCGTATCACGAACACGACCTTCGCGGGCGGAGGGCTCGGATGCGGTGCGATCTGCGCGGCCCAACACTGTGGCCTGGGTGGTGCAGGCAGTTCAGGGTTCAGAGTGTGCTTTCTTCACATTTTCAGCTCTGCAAGTTGGGAGGATTGGGGTTCCGCGCTTCTTACACGAGGGGACGAAGAGGATCCGCTCGTGAAGCTCCGGTTGGCAGCCGAAGCTGTCGGCTACTGTAGCCTGTACACACAGGCTGAGCACGGCAGCATGGAGTCATTGTCAGAGAGTCTGCCGTGTTCTTGTTTTACAGTCCTTGGAAGCAGGGTGCACAGCTTTCCTTTGGATTTCTTCCCCCCCCCCCCGTCGCGAGTGCAGTGCAGCGGCAGTGGATCCAGTTCGAAGCAATCGCAGGTGGCCCGTGCACTGTGCAGTACCTGCTCTCAGCGGTGAACCTCACGAAGGCCAGGAGGGGCGTCAGATCACGGAGCTCCCAGTCCATCGCCCCCGCAAGCTGCTTTGTCTGGCTGCCGAGGTTCACGCCGGTGACAAGAAGATCGGCTTCGGAATCAGCACGGTGCGCTCCAAGCAAATGCTATAAACATTTTGAGGGCTGGGGCCTTGGTCTAGAAGGCTAAACAAGTAGTAAGTAGCAAACATGTTCCGTGCTATTCGTACACACTTGTAGCATCATCCATGTTCCTAAACCCTGCGACTCCCTAACCTCCAACAGTCAGCGGAGACGTGATAGGTGGACATGGGCTACGTGCAGCCCATGTTCCTCGCGCAAGACGACTCCCTGGGCGGCTACAGGTTGGCTCTGAGCAGTAGACTGCATCATTTTAATGGTAATCATAATAACTGTAATAATGACTAACAATAATCAGGACTTGAGCAGGGTCTAACAAGGCCTGTTTGAGCAAGTATAGTCCCCTAACCCCTTCCTGCTTCCCCCCCTAAGGTTCCTTATGAATTACGCAGCATGGGCAGGGCAGGGAGGCCGCGGACAGCCCGTTTGATTTGCGCAGAATTTGTTTATCTCAGAAGATCCCAGTCAAAGTCCAATCCCAGCTTGGGCTCAAGACAGCTTCACACTGGACATGAAGTCCGTGAGTCGCGATCGAGTATTTTTCAAAGTGAGAGATGGCGAGTCCTCGGAGGCGAAGAAGGCGTTAGAGGGTGCAAGCATCGCTTTTTGCTGAACCTGGGGTTCGAGCCCAACTTCCCCGATGATGTAGATGAAACCGCCGTCTTCTATGCAGTTAGAAATGGGCACAAGGATGTCACTCGCATGCTTAGCGAGCGCGGAGCATCTCTTGATATGGCTTCGACGGAGGGCCTTTGCCGCCCACGCTCCATGCCATCCCGACTCCCAGCCCCGAGATTCTCAACACCACGCGAAACAGGAAAGCGCCTGACTCCCCACACGATTGGTGGCAGGGTGCCACCGCACGAGCTTTGTTGAGCAAGTGGGAGTGGGGCCAAGACGAGAAGGAGGAGCTCTAATTGTTGATTGCACATGTTTCCAAAGTTCTTGCTTTTCTTAAATTGGCAGAAACTGCGTTAGGCATGTTTCATGTGTGACGTTACGTGCTCGCACGTACATGAACTGGACCGCGCACGCTTCGAAGGTTTGCGGGTTTCTAAATGTTGGAAGAGACGGCATTATGCATTTTGGGGGAGGATCTCATCCCGGGATTATGAACGCAACAACTAACGAAAGGCTTGGGTGGGCTGTTACTCCAAGCTGCAGAAGCCGGGTTCCAGGCACGCGGATATCAATTGCTATCAAAAAGCAGGTTCCAAGACAGATGACACCGGCGCATCGAGTTTCCCTCCATCTGCATGCAGTCAGATGAAAATTTGAAGTGGTTGCGCATGGAGAAAGATGCGTCTTAGAGTTGTAGAGTTGATGTTTCAATGTGTCACGGTCGACGGTTGTGTTTCACTGTATCATCTCCACAGAAGACTGGCAGACCTGTGTAAAAAGACTGTGAGGGAGGTCTTGGATCAAGTTTTGGCGTTGGTGTTGTTATTGGGGGTCAAGCTTCCCGAATGCGGCTTCATCATGAAATCCTAACCAAAACGCATTCACCGCTTGCTATACTTTCGCATCGAAGCGGAACAGTGAGAAGTACCCCGTGCGTCCAAATCAGTCGATCGACGAACTTGAGTCACACCGCCTGGAGCCGCATCCACTGAAACCTCGATGCCAGCTACTCTGCCGGTCACTTGCTAAAGCGACCATACACAGGTCCATGGTCAGCAGGCACCTGAATGGCTTCGCTAACATTACCGGCTGCGAGGCAGGGCATGCTCAGGGACTGCGCATTCAAGCATTATGACAGTCAAGGCTTTTGATCTGGGTTGCGAAGCCTTGGATGACAACAGCCCGTGGGCTGGCTGGGTGTTGAAGGGCACTGTTAAGTTAAGAGGACGAGGCATCACGGCGAGCCCCAACATGTTGTTGGGATGTTGTCGGACAATATTTCTGCTGGACCCTAACCCTAAACGCTAAGCGTTTCTGCCGGAGGCGCTCGAGAGCGAAGAGTGGGACCAAGCGGTCGCTTGCTCGATAGAGGCCCGGAAGCTGCAAAGCAGCCAGCTAGTACTACCGCTACGACGATACGACGACTACTACCACCACCACCACCACGACCAGGACAACTACCAGGACAACTACCACTACACCACTACACCACTACCACTACCACTAC